GAGAGAAACAGAGACTGAGAGATTGAGATTGAGAATGAATCTGAGGCCAGCCTGGAATATATAACAAGACTGTGATGAGGCACTTCAAGACTGACCATAGCTACACCATGTTATAAGCAGGCCCGAGCTAAATTAGTCAGCTGCACCTGGCTACACTCCCTCCCCCCAACAGCAGATTTATGGCTCCAGTAGGTTTCGCTTGGCTTGCTCTTGCAGAATGGTAATTGTTGTCTTACAGGATAGAAATTGTCAGGGGACTTTCCACCCCTAAGCTTGGGATCTTAAACTTTTCACCCCTGGATGTAGTTTTTCTGGGTAAAAGATTACCCTAGAGATGGCTTACCCCAGAGATGGCCTGGGACTGCACTTGGGAACCAAATGTTCAGTGTAGTTGCCCACTAGCTTAAAAATATATATATAAAGACTTTCTTTTGACAAATTTTTGTGTCTGAGTAGTCTGGTGAAAAAACATCACAACAAGATCCTGTTTCAAAAAATAAGGAAAACTGGGCATGGTGGCACATATCTAATATGAGTTTATTGGGGCTACTTACAGGAGCAAGGGTAACTCAAAGGAACTATAACACTGAAAAGTCTCACCCCCAACATGGCCAACTCCTGGGCAGCTGCACCACCAAAGAGTACCAATCCCCAGTCCACCTTCTACCTTTGGTGTACATGGCACCACCCAATCCTACCTGCAGCTGGAGCAGGAAGAATCCAGAATCTCAGATGAGCATCTGAGGCCCTCTTCCTGCCATGAGGGAATGTTAACAGCCTCGTTACCATTGACTGAACTGTCAGCTGTATTGGTCTGTGTATTTCATTTATTTATTGTTATTATTTACTCATTTGGGTTTTTAGAAGCAGTCTCGGGTAGCCCAGACTTGCCTCAAACTATGTAGTTGAGAATGACCTTGAACTCCTGATCCTCCAGTCCAATTGCTCTGTGACAGCTGGCTCTGCTTCATAATGGTAATGGTGACAGTCATGTCATGCCCAGAGGAAATGGCTGCACTACAAATAACTGTCATACAGGAAAAAAGAAAATGAAATGAGGGTTTTTACCTCATGCCTCACACAAAATTAATTCTCGCTGTGTATGGTTATTGATATTCTGTGTAGTGTCTGTGAAGGCCGGAAGAGGGTGACAGAGAGCCAGAGTTGCCATGTGGGTGCTGGGAGGCAAACCTGGGTCCTCTGGGAGAACAGCAAGTGCTTTTAACCCCTGGAGCCATCTCTCAAACCCAAAAAATTAATTCTGGATGAATTAAGAGCATAGACACACAAGGCAATTTTTTAAATATTTTATTATTTTTATTTTATGTGTATGAGTGTATTGCCTGCATGTAGATAAGTGCACCTGACAAGGCAATTTTTAAAAACTTTTTTTTTGTTGTTCTTCTTGATACAGAATCTCTCTATAGCTCCAGCTGGCCTGGAACTCACTGTACGAATCAGGCTAGCCTTAATCTCAGAGATCCACTTGCCTCTGCCTTCCGAGTGCTGGGATTAAAGGTGTGTGCCAACACATCTAGCTCTAAAAAGTTTTGAGAAGAAAATATGGCAATATTTCTATAATGTCAGTGTGGGGAAGGATTTCCTAGACAAAAATATAAACCCCAAACCATAAAAGTGGGAGCTACTATATAGCAATGTCAGGTGACTGGTTGAAAGACAGAAACTGCAATTTCACAGAAGAGGAAGAAAGACTGACCAATAGAGATGAACAGATGAGGGGCTGGAGAGATGGCTCAGCAGTTAAGAGTGCTGGCTGCTCTTGATGAGGACCCCGGGTTCCCAACACCCACATAGAGGCTCACAACTATTTGTAACCCCAGTTTCAGGAAATCTAATGCCCTCTTCTGGCCTCCGTGGGTACTGCATGTATGTGGTGCGCTTATGTACATGCATGCAAAAATACTCATGACCCATAAAGATAATTATTTTTTAAAGTGCCTGCCTGTAAGTGTACCACGTGCATGCAATGCCTGCGGAAGCCAGAAGAGGGTGTCTGATGGTAAGAGGCTGTTTTTAAATTCAGGCATAATTGTAATGGACACCAACTTGACACAATAGGCCTTAACACAAATGACAGAATGTATGAATTCCAAGGGGGGGGGGGGGGTATGGGCGGGTGCTAGTGGGGAAGGAGGCATAAAGATGATTAAGATTGATTGAGGTGTTCTATGTGAAATACACAAAAATTCAATTAAAATTTTTTAAAAGAAATGGCACAAGATAGAAACAAGGCACAAGAAACGACATGTTTTCAAACATGTATTGAATGTCAGCTATGTACCTGGGCCTATGCTGAGCCTGGGATACCAACATAAATACTTAGTAGATACCCATGCTTAGAAGAAACTGGACTGGTGAGGTCGTTCAGCAGGTAAAGGCGCTTGCCACCAAAGCTCATGACTTGAGTTTGATCTCTGGGACCCACATGGTGAAAGGAGAGAACCAACTCCCAGAATGCGCATCCTGGTATGTGCACATGCATGCACATGTGCACACACACACACCCAATGTCGTTAAAAAGAACTTGAACCTGGGCATGGTTTCACATGCCTTTAATCCCACTCCTCAGGAGGCAGAGGCAGGTGAATCTCTGTTAAACTGAGGCTAGCCTGGTCCATGTGGTAGACCCTATCTCAAAAACAAACAAACAAACAAAAAAAACAAGCTGGAAATCATTAATTTATATATTTAAAAAACGGGTGAGGGGACTGGAGAGATGCTCAGTGGTTAAGAGCAGTTGCTACTCTTGTAGGGGATCCAGGTTCAGTTCTCAGTACCTACATAGTGACTCACAACCACTTGAAACTCCAGTTTCAGGGGATCCAACATCTTCTGGCCTCCGAGTGCACCGGGCACACACACATGCAGTACACATACCTACATGCAGCCACTCACACATAAAATTAAATTAATTTTTTAAAAAAGTTTTGGAGTCAGGTCTAGCTTTAAACTCTCTCCGTAGCCGTAGCCAGGATGACCTTCAACTTCCTTTTTTTTTTTAATGTTTTGGTATTTTTGAGGCAGGAACTCATTATGCAGCCCTGGCTGACCTGGAACTCTCTATGTAGACCAGACGGACCTTGAACTCACCGAGATCTGCCTGCCTCTGCTGGGATTAAAGGCATGAGTCACCATGCCTGGAGACCTTGAACTTCTGATCCTCCTGTCTCCAGCTCTCCAGTGCTGGGGTTACAGATATGCTACAAACATCCCTGGTTTACATGGGTATGAGGGTGGAACCCAGGAATTTGCACGTGCTACACAAGCACTCTACAAAGTAAGCTACATTCCCAGCCCCCCTTCCAAATATTTTTCAGTATACTCCTAAATTTTCAGTTAGTTTACCTGTTTAACAAGGTTACAGTTTCCTACCTATGGACTCAAGTGTGAAGGCAACTTCAGGCAAAATTAGGTTAATTTAATATAAACAATGGGGGTCTCAGATGCATTTTGAGGGGTCAGAACAATTGTTGGTCCTCTCAGTAAAGCTGTGCTATAATCACTTTTGCTCTCCAAATTACACTCATGGTCACTGTTTATTGCAGGCTCGCCACAGGCCATGTATTGCACACCTGTGACCTTATTTAGGGCATACAAGTTGCTAAAACTCCTTTTCTGGGGGAGAGATGTAAACAACATCCCACCTCCTCTTCCCTTGATCATAAACTGAGGTATGATTCCTCCAAAGTGCACTCTGGGAAACCAATGAATTTATTGGCTTACTTTCAGAGCAATGGATGATGGTTTACTTACAGGCGCATGTATGCTCCCCCTCTAAGGCCACACAGAAAACTCTTCACCCAAGCATGAATGATGACTTCCCCATAGCAACATAAATAGAGAGCCTCTTCCTTGAGCTGAGGCCTCATACAGTCGAGGCTGAATTGCCCACCATGGGTTGGGAGGTATGGGTAAACACTCAATGTGAGGATCTCTTGACTCTTCCTGCCCCATCAACAGTCAACAAACCCAGCTATGGTGACCTTTGGCAAGGAAGCTCATCTGAGTTCACGAAGATGGCATCTGTCTGACTCAGATGACAGTCCTATACAACAGCACAGTTTAGAGGTACACACTAGGTCCATTCTACAGACAGAAAAACTGAGGTTGGAGAAGTTAGATCCATGTCCCACAGCTCCTGCATGGCTGAGCTTCTAAAAACACTAATCCATAAGAAAGGACAGCCAACAAATTGCCTGCTTTCCAGCTTCTATCCACGCTGCTTTCCAGCGTGTGAAAGGTCAAGGGCCTGTAGAATTTCACTAAGGTGGGCTTACAGAGTTTGGCCAGTTATCCCAGGCCCTGCTCTGCCTTCTCTTGAGAATCTACTCCCACAGCCACCCTCCACCACATTCGCATTCAGAAACTATCTTGCAACCTCCCCAAATATTTATTAAATGCTTACCATATGATCTAAGTTCTGGGATGAGACCATTGAACACAATTAAGTGGCCAAATGTTGTAATTCTCATTGGCAAGAGAAGCTATTAGAAAGGTTTTTTATACTTTGTTTTAATAAAATATGAGTGTTTTGTCTGCATGTATGTAAGGGCACCTGTGTGTGCAGTACTGGAGGACAGAAGGGGACGTCAGACCCCCTGGAACTGGAGTTACAGATGATTGTTAGCTGCCATGTGGGTTCTGGGAACTGAACCCAGATCGTCTATAAGACAATTTTAACTACTCTTAACCTCTTAACCACTAAGCCATCTCTCCAGCCCCTTAGAAAAAGTTTTAAGCAGAGGAGCAACATGATTTAATTTTTTAAAAAAGATTAAGAACCATTTTATTAGGAAAACAAAGATGACTGTGTGCTATTTTAAACAACTAGGCTGTAAAAGAAAAGATCTGAACAGTCCCATCTTGTGCCTGAAAGCTTGGACACCATTTATACACAACTTGTTCTTTCTTCAGACCTAAAAACATAAATAGCCACCTGTCTTTCAGCAAGTGATAACTCTTCCCTTTTCCACACACAAAAACTGGGCTGACAGTTCCTTCAGGAACACATTTTCCCCTTCTTCCTCAGCTGGCCCCAGTGGATTCACTCTTTCATGTTCTAGGGATAGGGCAGGAAATAAGAATATCTCTTCACTAGGATCAAGTATGTTTTTAAAAAGAACATTTACAGTGCTGGAGAGATGACTCTGAGGATAAAGTGTTTGCTGCAGAAATGTGAAGAGCAGAGTTCAGATCCCCAGAACTCATATAAATGCCAGGTAAGCATGATGACTGCCTGTAATCCCAGCACTCAGGAAGTAGACACAGGATTTGAGGCAGACTAGACTACCTGGAATTGAAGAGCTCTAAGTTCAGCAAGAGACTGTACTTCAATAAATAAAGTGGAACATGATCAAAGAAGACTCCCCAGTCAACTTTAGGCCTCCACATGTACCCTCATACATGTGTACACATATGCCAACATGCATACACACACATACAACATATAAACACACAAACAAGAAACACGGCTGGGTATGGTAGCTCACACCTGTAATTCCAGCACTTGGGACTGAAACAGAAGGATCATCTCAAGTTTGAGGGCAGCCTGGTCTACTTATTGAGGCTTTGTTTCTTAACTCTTTAAAAACATTGTGTGTGTGTGTGTGTGTGTGTGTGTGTGTGTGTGTCTGTGTCTGTGTCTGTGTCTGTGTGTGTGTATGCACCACAAAGTAAGAGTGGAGGTTGAAAGACAACTTGCAGAAATCGGTTCTCCCCTTCCACTATGTGAATTCCTGGGGGAGATCTTGTCTCAGATAAACAGAAAACTAAAAAAAGAAAAAAGAAAAAAAGTCAAGGGGGGGAGAAAGAGTGGGGAAAGATAAGGAAAGAAAAGGAAAGGAGGAAGGAAGGGAGGAGAAAGAAGAAAGAAAGAAAAAGGAAGAGATGGGAAGGGAAGGGAAGGGAAGGGAAGGGAAGGGAAGGGAAGGGAAGGGAACAGGTAACGGTGGAAGCAGGATTTTCTCTGTGTATGTGTGTAAGCAGTCTCAGAGGTATGAAGACAACTTTCGGGAATTGGTTCTCTCCTTCCACCCAGTGGGTCCCAGGAACTGAATTTAGATTATCAGGCTGAACAGCAAGTGCCCTTACCTGCCCATTCCAGGCACCTCATGTAAATGAAATCACTTTGTCTTTTTTTTTTTTCCTTTTGTCTTTTTGAGACAGGGTCTCCCTGTAGCCCCAGCTGGCCTGGAACTCACTATGTAGACCAGGCTGGCCTTGAACTCACAGAGATCCCACACTTTGTCTTTTAAACAATTTTTTTTCTTTTAAAAAATATTTATTTATGGGCTGGAGAGATGGCTCGGTGGTTAAGAACACTGACCTTTCTTGCAGAAGACCCAGGTTCAAATCCCAGCACCCACATGGCAGCTAACAACTGTCCATAACTCCAGTTCCAGGGGATCCAACAGCCTCTTCTGTCCTCCAAGGGCATTGCACGACATGGGTGTACTTACCTACATGCAGGCAATACATGCATACACATAAAATACAAAAGTAAAAAAAAAAAGATTGATTTATTTATTTTTCTGATAACACAGTGGATGGTAATAGGGATGACAGAGTATATGGGCTCCGGGGGGGAGGGGCTATGGGAGAAGTATGTTTCTGAATATGTTAAAGCTGTAATGAAATGCTTCTTCTAATCATGTGGTTATTAAATTTAAAAACAATTTTAAAAAATAATAATTCTTCAAAGCATGAAATTTGCTCCTTAATAATTAGTAGATGTGAAAAACATTAACACTGAAATCTACCTGATGACTTTATATCCATGCTCAGGTGCCAAGGATCTCAGAAAGTAACTGACTGTGACTAGCAATAATGAGATGCATAGAGATTAGAGATGCATGTGCAAACATCTAAGGGTTAGTTGCATTAAAAATGAGCTTATCTGGGGGCTGGAGAGATGGCTCAGAGGTTAAAAACACTGATTGTTCTTACAGAAGACCTGGGTTCGAATCCCAGTACCCACATGGCAGCTAACAACTGTCTGTAACTCCAGTTCCAGGGGATCCGACAGCCTCTTCTGTGCTCCGCGGGCATTGCACGACATGGGTGTACTTACCTACATGCAGGCAATACATGCATACACGTAAAATAAAAATAATAAATAATAAATAAATAATAATAAATAAAATATTTTTAAAAATTAAAAAATGAGCTTATCGGTATGAAACAGTATATTTTTTTGTGTGTGTCTTTTTTTAGGGTTTATACTGAGTACAACAATTTATAACTGTATTAATTCAACACTGTGAACCTAAAAATTTACATCCAATTTTGAAAGAGATGCATCTTTGCTCTGGAAACTGTTATTGACTATGTCAATGTTGTTGTAATGAAATGCTCCTACTAATTATGTAGTTATTAAATAATTCTTTTGGTGTTTTTGAGATAGAGTCTCCCTGTAGCCCCAGCTGGCCTGGAACTTGGTGTGTAGACCAGACTGGCCTTGAACTCACAGAGATCTGCCTGCCTCTGCCTCCCAAGTGCTGAGATTAAAGGTGTGTGCCACCACGCCTGGCCATAAGTTTTTTGTTTTTTTTTTAAAGAACGTGCTAAAAAAAAAAGATTTGTTTATTTTTATGTGTATGTGTGTGCAGCATGAGTTTATGTGCATCATGTGCATGCAGGTGCTCATGTAGGCCATAAGATGGCATCAGATGCCCTGGAACTGGAATTATGGGGGGTTTGTGAGCTGCCATGTGGGTGCTGGGAACTGAACCTGTGTCTTCTGCAAGAGCAGTAAATGTTCCTAATGGCTGAGCCATCTCTCCAGCCCCACGTAATTGTCTTTTATGTGTGACTCTTTTTTTTTCTTTTCTTATGTATATGCGGGCATAGGCTAAAGTTGATGTCGGGTGTCTTTTTCCATTACTTCCCACCTTATGTTTCTTTTCCTTTTTCTCATTAAAACTTTAATTTTCTTTATTTTATCTGTGTGTGTGCCTGAGCATATGTATGTTCAGGTGCTCTTGGATGCCAGAAGAGGATGTCAGATTCCCCTGGAGCTGGAGTTACAGGCAGTTGTGAGCTACCAGATGTGTGTGCTGTGAACCCAAGCCTGGGTCCTCTGCAAGAGCATCAAATGCTCTTTAATCACTGAGCCATCTCTCCAGCCCCTTCACCTTACTTTTTGAGACAGGGTCTTTCTGTGAACTGAGCTAAAGCCAGGGAGATGCCTCAGTAGGTAAGAGTGCTTGTCACCAAGCTTGATGACCTTAGTTCAATCCCCAGGACCCCCATGGTAGAAGGAGAGAATTGACTCCTGACTTCCACATGTGTGCTGTGGCACAGCTCCCTTCCAACACACTCAAAAAAAAAAAAGATTAACATAATTTCCTTAAAGAACTTTATCTGGACCTGGAACTCCTCTATTTGATTGGCCTGGCTGGCCACAAGCTCCAGAGTTCCTCTTATCTGCCTCCCCAGCACTAGAATTACAGGATTACTAGAATTACTAGATTACTGTGTCATCACTACACCTGGCTTTTAAAAATGTGGGTCTGGGTACAGAGACCCGAAAGTTTAGTGCCTTGCCACAATAGGAGGAAGATCATCCCGCACCTACCACCCCCTCCAAGGCTCAGGGACTTTTGGGGAGGAGGTTGGTAGGAAGAATGTAAGAGCCAGAGGAAGAGGTAGAGCCATAAATAGGGGGTGCTCACTGCTCTGTAAATAACCCTCCCACCCTATGCTCTGTTAAAAAACAAAAAAGAAAATGATAGGTGTTTAGATAGATAGATGACAGGGATCTGAGTAGACCGCAAGTGGATGGACTTGCACTGGGGAACATCTGAGGACACTGACTTGACACAGTGGGCCTTAACACCCAGGACAGAGCATATGGGTTCCAGTGTGTGTGTGGGAGCTATGGGAGGGTGCTGGTGGGGACAGGGCTGTAAAGATGATTCAGATAGTTTGAGATTTTCTGTATGAAATACAACAAAATTTAATAAAAAATTTTTTTTTGTCTTTTTGAGACAGGATCTCCCTTTAGTCCCAGCTGACCTGAGCTCACTACATAGATCAGGCTGGCCTTGAACTCACAGCAATCCACCTGCCTCTGCCTCCCGAGTGCTGGGACTAAAGGCCTACGCCACCATTCTTGGCCATAAAAACTCAAAAATTTTTAAAAATTCAATGAGGAAATCTTGAGGGACAGGCAGGTTTTGAGTAAGACAATAGGCACTTTCAAGGCCATGCCTGATTGACATGAGACTGAGACTTACCAGAGTCAGGAATCCATTGAAGCAAAATAAAGGATGTTGTTTAAGGATTAGCAAGATCAAGGATCTGAAGATAGTCAAAGCAGTTAAGGGGCCTGTGTTTTCAGCTCTAGTTGCCAGTTATAGCTGAAGGCAGGTGCTGTAGCCACAGGTTTAAATGAAGATATCGAAACAGCTAGCTGAGCCATACCCCTTATTAATCTATCTATAATACATACTATAATGAATATGTTTATTTTAGTGGTTTTTAGTGTTATTCTAGTCATGTCATTTATTAGACCTAATTTAAATGTTACTTTCTGTGTGAAAAGTTTCCTATGTCTTCATATGGATGGAGTTGTTCCCTTTTCTGGAAATAAATACCTCATGGCTCATAAAAATAAATGTGGATCTGGGGATTGAACTCAGGTCCTCGTGCCTGTGCAGCAAGCACTTTACCAACTCCAGGATTCACTTTTTGTTTTGTTTTGTTTGAGAAAGTCTTGCTATGTTTCCCAGGCTAGCTTCAAACTTACACTCTACTCCTTGAGCAGCTAGGATTATAGGCATGTGCCACTGATGCCAGCTTTAGCTTTGGCTTTTTGCGGAACTGCCTAAGTGTTTTACATAGCGGGTATACTTTTTTTTTTTTTTTTGGTCTTTTTGAGTCAGGATCTCTCTGTAGCCCCAGCTGTCCTGGAACTCACTATGTAGATCAGGCTGGCCTTGAACTCACAGAGATCCACCTGCCTCTGCCTCCTGAGTGCTGAGACTGAAGGTGTGTGCCACCATGCCCGGCTTGCTTCTTACATTCTAACAGTGTGTGACACTTTCTTTTTTGTCACAATTTTACTAATATTTGTTTTGCTTTGTTGTATTTTTTATTTT